CTTTATGCAAGACTTTATAATTATGAGGGGGTTTAGAAAGTATAATTTTTTTCTTAGTCCTTTTAACAATGAAAAGAAGGTAAAGAGGGTTTATAGCCAAATTTCCCTTATATATATAGAGGACAAATTGAAACACTAACATTGTCATTGAACATGTTGTAGGCTTTTTTCATGTGGTACAAACCAAAATGGGGAGACCCACCTGTTGAATGGGTAGAAAAGAGAAGTATTCAGCAGATAAACTACAAACGATTGCAAAAACATTCTTTCGGTATCGTGCAATTTGATATGACCAAAGACTGCTTTTTGGCTGCTGGTGATGACTATGTTATCAAATTTTGGGAAATGGATAGCGAGGATCTCTTGGCAACTTCTGATGCTGGGGGAGATTTACCTGTAAGTGGTTTTGTAATTGTGCTAAAATTAAATCTTATTCCTTACAAATGGGCATTTGTGTTTCTATATTATTATATGGGTGTTTGGGAAGTGGGTTTTTATGTAGCTTTTTTTAGTTGTAGGATATTATTGGATAAATTTTTTTTGGTGTTGGGAAGATAGTTGGGTTTTTTTGTGGTTGGATGTGATGTTTGTGAGAGAAAAAGTGAAATGATTATGGGGTTGGATGTGATATTTTGTTTGGATTTGTTTTTTTTGGTTTTGCAAAAAGTTTGTCTTTTTGTGTAAAAAATCAAAAAAAACCCAACACACAAACTTCCCATACACCACCTATATATTCTATATGCAAAAATTGTAGTCCAATTCACCTTCTTCTTCTTTTTTTTTTCTTTTTTTTTGTAAAAAAAAATTTCTTAAATCATAAAGAAACTCTGTACATATGTTTCAACAAGGAGGGCACATTACTGGCTGCATCTGCGAGGAACAAAAGAATTAAAATCTTAGGAACCCTTAATGGAATTCAGTCATTATAAGCTTATGAAATGCCTGTATCCATTATTGCAACTGAGGTCAGTTCATTAAATCATTTCATGGGGCTCTAAACAAAATTTATTGTCAAAATTGAAAATGTAGGCATATAAATATGTATACTCCGTTTGGTTGTGTTTTGAAAACATAATTCTACACCTATATTTGAATATGATGTTTGGAAGGAGTTTTGGAATCAGTTTTCCAAAACTCTGTAGAGAACTCTATCTCAGGCGCGATTTTTGAATTTTTTTTTTTCCAAATTTTGCCTAACCGGTCGTCCAGCCGGTTGACCAGAATAATGATTTTTTTTTTTTTTTTTGCAATTGATATGTTAATTTTTATATAATCGAAAAAAACATGTTTCAAAATTTTTAAAATTTTTTATGTGTTTTAAAATAATTTTGAGTTGTATATTTGGTTATGAGTCGTAAATTTTTGTATCAAATATCAAATGTCACATCAACAATTCCCCACTCAAATCAAAACTCTTTTCAAAACTATTTTCAAAACTCTTTACCAAACAAATTTTCCACACTCAAATCATAATTCCAAACCTCATAAACTCAAACTACAACTCACTCTCAAATCATAGTTACAAAGCTCTACCAAACGCAACCGTAATGTTTCTCCATTTGGTATATGTCCATATTAAATGTGTTCTTTCTCCATTCATTTTACATGTATTCCATGTCTTTACAAGTATATTTGATATCACTTCTGAAGTAACATAAAACTTGGACTTGCTAGAATGGGGACCAAAGGAGCTCGGAGGATGTTCCTAAAACAATTGAAGTCCTCAAATCAACAAAGACGTCAAAGATCAAAGAAATTAGTGAGCCTGCTCAACTTCAGTCCTTGCTACTTCCTAGTTCTGTCAAAATGGCTAAGGTGCGATTCACTAATTATTGTAGTGTAGATATGGTCAATCATTGTTCATCCATTTTTGGATACAAAATAATACTGTAAATGTTATATTTTGTTTACCTTAGTTGCACCTTTGTTTCAACAATATTCTATATTGGAATATTGGATACACAGACACTTCCAAGAAGGTAGTGTTTATGTGTTGTATTCGTGTCATGTACATGCTTCTTAGCTCTTGCCAAATAAAGACTAGTTCTTCTTGTCTGTTTCTCTACTGACTAATTCAGATGTTAAAGTTGACGTACACGAGTTCCAATCATGCCATTTTAGCATTAGCATCAAATGCAATCCATTTGCTTTGGAGGTGGCCACATAAATCCAAGGAAAAAAAATTCCCATCGTTCATATGTATGCACGCACACTTCTCTTTGAATTCAAATATTACTTCATGATTGTTATTTTGAGAATTAAGGTATGTCTTGATGCAGGCAACAATGAAGAATCCCCCTCAATTATGGCATCCAATATCGGGTGACAAATGACTTAACTAATGTTAGAACTGAAGAGGCCAAGCCCTGTTTCGCTTTGTCCAAAAATGATTCTTACCTCATTTCAACATCTGGGGGTCAAGTTTCTTTGTTTAGCATAGCAACATTCAAGGTATCGTACGATTTTCAAATGCTTTGGTTTGGTTTTAAGTACTCTATTTTTCTACCTGAACTTATTGAAAGACGTTCTCACGTTTCTTGTAAAAAACCTTATTTTTATTTAGAGTAGACTGATCTTTTCCTAAATGTTGGAACATCATAGACAATGGCGATTTTCATACGTAGCGGATGTTGCCTTCTATCCTCATGATAACAACATAATTGCCATTGGCATGGATGATTCGACTGTTTTGATATATGACACCCGTGCAAATGAGGTATGATCTTAGCTTGTTTATGTGTAGATTCAATGGTTCTTCCTCAATGGAATGATAAGTATATTTTTTAAGCTCTTCGTGCTAAAGGTGAAATCCATACTGAAGGGTCACTCTAAACCGATCACTCTAAACCGATGTTGCCCTCGTGCTAAAGGTAATTTACTTGTTTCTGCTGGAGAGGACGATCAGGTTAGCATTTTTTCAAATTTGATAATTTGAAATTCTAAGCCCTTCTCAAAGTTTCGATTCTCTAATTTTTTTTTTTCCTTCATTTGGCAGATAATTGTGTGGCAATGCAATAAATGGATAAGTAAGAAGAGTAGCTTCATGCAGCTTCCAACTGGAACAGCAACCAAGAAACTGTTAGAAATTGAGGTTCAGTTTCACCAAGATCAGATACATTTCCTTGTCGTGCACGAGTTAAAACTTGCTGTGTATGAAACAATCAAGCTGGAATGTGTTGTGCAGGCAACTTTATTTTGTGAAAACCATAATTTGGCACTTCTATTTTTAAATGTTTAAATAAAATGCTTTATGTTTTGTATTTCCAGTGGCCGGTTCCAAAGATGTCGGCTCTAATCTCACATGCAACATTTTCATGCAATAGCCAGTTGGTTTATGCAGCCTTTTTGGATGGAACTGTGTGTATATTTTATGCTTCAAATCTCCGACCACGATGCCTGATTAATTCTACTGCTTATCTGCCATCCAACACTAGGTATTACTGACCTTCCAATTTTCAATTTAAACCATCCTATTTCTATCAAGTAAAATTGATGAGAAAATGATATTTTAGTCAGTAAACTCAACTAAAAAAGGGGTATTTTAACATTTTTCATACACGTACATTGAGTTTCATATCTAAGTTTTGTACTAATGTTCATTTTTAACTCTTTCTTCTTATTGTTCTTCCTTGCAGTCATGTTATATACCCACTAGTGGTTGCTACGAATCCAAATGAACCGAACCAATTTGCATTGGGGTTAACCGATCACTACAGGAAATATAGGATTTAACGGCGTTTATTTAACGACGCTTTTTTAAACGTCACTGTTTTTAACATTTAACGACGTTTTATAAACGTCGCATTTTATTTTGAATAAAACGGTACCGTTTAGGGAATCCAAGTCGTTTTTTCAACGCCTTCACATGTGTTACAATAATGTTATTCCTCGCTCTCTCTTGGCTCTGTGAGAATCAGAGAACCCTTCTCTCTCTCTCTCTCTTCAAGCCCTCATTTTGAATCTGGGAAACCTTTAGTCTCAGAGAAATCAATCCCTCAAATCTCTCACTCACCCGATCGCTGGCTCTCTCTCTAAACCCTTCACTCTCAGATATTACGATTCAACCTCAGAGTGATTTCGATTTCGAAGTTTTTTCTCTCTCTCTCTCGATTTGGAACCTCCACCGCCACCACCATCTGCATCGTTGACTAAGGTGAGCACCACTGTATACAATCTCAATTTCGTATTCTCTCTCTCTCTCTCTCAAGCTCTTCCTTCCATCGATTCTTGGGAACTCTTACTTCCTTCAACACTTTCAAGAGTCGATGTGAAGAGGCTAAGGAGATTATTGGGTGAGGTGAGTGGTGAGTGGTACGCGGAAGAAAGAATACGACGCCGTTTTATGGAACTTGTGGCCTACTGGACCTTTTTCAAAGAAATACATTTGTTGAAAACATTTCATGGGCTGGCCCAACACAGCCAGAAAAAGTTGTTTAAGGCTTTACATTTTATTTTATTTTATTTATTGTTTTTTAAGATTTGATACAAGTTTGGATAATATGTAACCTTACTGAAAAACTCACCTCACAAATAAGTAATAAGCAAAGGAAATGGTAAGTAACTTTTTTTGTCCATACATCTATAGGATAAGTTACTCTTGCATGTTAACAAGCTATTCTAAGAAACCAGTGATGGACATAGATTTATTGAGTGGAAAGTGTACAAAAGTATGCAATTTCCTCCATGTGGTCTACAACAACAACAATGTTTTGTTAAATTTTAATTTTAACTTCTTTTTTTAAATAAAAAATCAGGCCGTGAACTTTTTCAAATTTCTTGCCATACACAAGACCAACAGGCTCATGAGCTAAAGTAGAGTACCCATCGGGCTGAGCTCAAGCATAAATGTTTTTACAGCTCGATAAGCTCAAGCCAAGCTTGAACATGTCCAAATATAACCAAGCAACACCAAGATACTTTGTAGCCCTGTGTCTAACATGACTATAAAAACACGAACAGTACCTCTTTCACAATAAACTTCAACATGTTCGAGAATTTTCCAACTGTGGGACTCCTTCTGGTTTCTCAAATACCACAAATGTTTGTCCTGGTGAATCATATGGAAGAGATCTTAGAGGCCTTGTTGACACTTCAGTAAATTTCTCGGTGTCAGAAGCATCCACAACAACGGTGACCTAGCAGTAAGCACAAAAAAATTGAGAGATTATCCCAAAATAATTTCAGAATAAAGGAACTACTACTTTTTTAAGATGGTCATTACATTTTCCAGTAATTGCTCAGGAATTGAATTTGTGCAGTTGTACTGGAACACCACATGCCTATCAAAGATGTGCTGAACAGCATTAACTGCATATTCTGTTTCAGCCTCTGTAAGCTCCACAGGTGCCGAAGACTGGTACAGGAAACAAAAATTTATATGAAAAAAAACCTGAATCAGCAGATTATCAACAATAGTCAAAATCAGTATATATAATGGAAGGAGTGTCTGGTAAAAAACCTTGAAAAGCTTCCAAGCTCGAGAACTCTGGGATAGAGGAAAGAAGCTTTTCATAAGCATCAACAGTGGACGTGGGAGCAGTTGGAGCAGCACCTAAACCAGTTGGCTTTTTACCAAAACCAGTTGGCTTTTTACCAGGGGCCTTCTTCTCGGCAAGTGGAAGAGACTTAGCCTCCTTAGGTACAGAATCAATATCAAAAGGCTCTTCTGAAGGTTCTTGAACCTGTATTGAACAAACACGTGAGAATATGATAACAAACATTGCACAATGCATAAAGAGACTGACAACTCTCTGGGAACACTCACGTAGTTCTTCAAACTCATCTCCAGGTTGACTAATGGCACATCCAAAGACCCAAAAAGGAAGTTCTTCACATCTTATCAGTTTCAACAATTGCACCATCAACTTCAAGCATATTCAGATATAGAGTAGCCCTATCACGAACCTGCAAACAAATGGTTAACCATTCCTCTTCTCAGAATAAAGAAAACATAGTGAATTATGAGATATCGCAAAATTCACAAAGGTGAAGTAGCCCATTTTCTTTGGCATCTGGGATGTCTCTTATAAGGATAACAATTGAATCAACAATTGCTTTCTTGTAATCAAAACCGCCCTCTTCCCTCAAAATATTGCTTAAGAAATTCATCCTTAAAAAGAAGGAAGACAGAAATAAATAAGAGTTGCCCAAGAAGAATAAGCATAACATGAAAAATAAATTTAAAAAGTAAAATGGACCACGTATGACATAAATACATGAAACCATGGAATTCGGTTGTCCTTTCAAAAAATCTGTTCTTTTGAAACCATGAAAATGACTCTATCTAGCTCAAGTGCTTTATTGGATTTTATGTTCTTTTTTTATTGTTGTTGGTATGTAGCTCAAGTGTTTAGTTTTAGTGATTTATATCAATGAATTTTCAAGTCCATAACAAACCATTCAAACAACTGATTTGAATTTAAGTTTTCATTTTACCATTCAAATAGGGGATTTTGTGGTTGGATGCCTCAGAAAATAAAAATGCTCAAAGACTAACATAAATAAATAAAAATCCTTGTACATCATACCAGAGGCTTAGAATAAATATCCCACCTTCACAGACTAACAAAATAAATGAAAATGATCGAAGGTGCTAGCTAGCTT